ACAAGTTTAATTACTTCAGTAATTAAAATTACTTCTTGCCAGCCATTGAATATTTACAGTTTCTTTCTTTTGTTGTGTTTTTTGGTTTTTTTTTTAATTGGGTGTCATTACCCTTCACTTCTTTTCATTTTGTTGTATACTTTGAACTTCACTGACATTCTTTAGGGTCAGAAAATGCATTTTTCATCTTCATAAGTTTAAATCTCCTTTGGATTCAGGTCCCTTATGGGATCTGGCCAATACATAAGATTTTTTGTTCCTGGCCGATGGATATGACATCACTGCCAGTTGGGTTATACTTTTGAGATATGTTTCTCTTTCAATATGAACTCTGTGAGAACTTGTGTGAAAGACTTCAAGAGCATTTATTTGGAATACAATGGTATAATAATATGCATAGTATAGCTTTTGTAGTTTCTCTTCATCAAATGGACCTCCTTCTCTTGTTGGATGCACTTTATCAACTGGAGAAATCTCCAAATTTTTGATAACAAATTCCTGATGGCTTCTAAATATCCCTGTTCTTTATATGTTGTATTCTTTTGAAGCCACTTCATGTGGGGGCTGTTTGAATATATTCTGATTCATATTTAGTTTCTCTTCTGGTATGTTTTTAATGGTTTTATCTTCTTAGTGTATTTATCTTTAGGATCGTTTTCATGGTTTTTTTATACATCCACCTACCTTTTCACTGAATCACAAAACACCTCTTTAAACTGGACTGGAGCTTATCCCATTGTTTTTCTTCTATATTTTGCCTTGGTAAGTTGAATAGTCATTGGGAGGAAAAAAAAAATAAAAGCCATTTTGGGGTATATTGTGGAATTTTGCTGAGGGAACTGAACCAAAGTAGGAGCATCACATGTGCAGTTTTGCTCTAGATTTCCAAAACTGATCATTCCTTTCTCAGCATGATGTCCTGCACTTTGAGATAGAACAGTAATTGGAAGGAAGTAATGGCAGGTAAAACTGAAAAAACAAGTGAGGTCTTATTTTCTCATAGAATGTACAAACTTGTGGGTGTCACTGTTTCACATCCAAAAACTTCTTTAGAAAGGAACACCTTCATAAATATTTATTAACAATATGTAGAGTCACATTGACAATTATGATGCAAGCAAGTTACATGATTTGGGACTCAGTAGAGGATATTCACTCCAGGGCACTGCACATTCCCTAAGGCAGCTAGGTTGGGCACAAGAGAGCTTACAGCTAAATGCAGTAAGAAGCCATGGCTAGAAACTGACAGGGACTATTTTTGTGGAAGGAAACAGAAAATGCTTGTCAGCACAGTTGTCAGGGATATGTGGTATAACATACCTGCCAAAACATCTCATTGCAGACTCAGTGATGTTCCTTCCACAAGTAATATTAACAGTTTTCTTTATTCACCATTCATTTTTGATCTCTGCAGTAGTAATCAAGTGGAAGAACAGTTATGTTTTTCTTATGTGTACAGCGAATAATCTGAACTTGATTTGGATGCTGTGTAATATAATCTCTTACTTTTGATTATCATAATTCCAACATAGCGTGCCCAAGTCATCAAAAGGGTACTTGACACATTTTTAAGCTAATGCTTTAAAAACTTTCTATTGCAAGTTTTGCATGTATTCAATTCAGAATTAAGTAAGTTAATCACATCAAGAAGATGTTGTCATAATGAACCGTTCATGTGTTGCCCAGGATTTTGGAAAAAGTCTGACAGAAGTTTGGCTTTTTTGGTGAATGTGGATGGGAAAACATTTTTCTGAAAGACTTGGATCCTGCAAAATTCCAATTTCTTTGTTGGTGTGTAAGCAGGGAAAATTTAGAGTAGCACAGATAGAGTATATTATCAGAAAGGGGAAGGAGTCTAAGATGGATAGTGTTAAATAAATCCAGCAAAGGCAGAGTCTCAGATTAGGTAATTGCTCAGAGCTATTCTTCCTTTATAACAAGTATAACTGACAGATTATGTACATTAGTTATGTATTAGGTCAGTTTAGGTCTTCTAAATTCTTTTTTCTGGAGTAAAATCAAGAATAAAGATAGGTTCATTTCTCGTGTGCTCTATTAAGTAGAAAGTTATGGAATAACACTGAAACCATATTCAAGACTTCTGCTTAGAAAACATTTTCTGTTCTCTCATCTTCTAACAAATCCATTAACCATATTTGAGCCTTCCTCTCTGCTCACTGTTTGGTTCTGGTTTCCTTGCTTCCTAAGTTTTCTTTAGCTGGCTTCCTATTTCATTCTACTCCAAATGTAACTCCACCTTGTTCTTCAGATATCAAGATAGGGATAGCTGTAGTTAATGTTTAGCTATTAACTCCTGTTGTTATTCCATTGTGAATAAGAAAGGGATGTAAATATAACACATTTATAAACTGTCAGTGCATTATACCCTCCTAGTTTCCTGGAATGTTCCCTACACAGCACCCTTCTTCCTTCATTACATTAAATATCTTCATTCATCATCTTCAGATTGTTCCAAAACCCTCAGGTTTTTCAGGTAACATTTTGCCCATAACTACTTGGTGTAGCTCCTACCTCATCTCTAAATCCACTTATTTAGCTTGTGTTGTTGTATAGATACTTTTGATTTAGATCATTTACACACATTTTTCATCATAATCTTTTCTATTTACCAGTGTTCATCTGTGATGGGGTTCTTGTGTTAGCTGAAAAACAAGGAGTGTATAATCCATGGCATTTTCTGAGTTACATCTTCTAGATCATCCTACAGTTGACCAGAGAAAGATAAAGATACACCTGAATTCCTTTCTGTGGTATTTTTCATGAAAAAGATACGGGTTTTTATTCCTGCTCTCCCTTTCCTTCTTAGTGATAACCTATTTAATTCCAAGAACATGTGTGGTATAGTTTGTGTAATACTCATGTAATTCTGATTCATCCATTGAGAAGCGTTCAAGTTGCACTCTGCAATGTTCCTGGAGAAAACATGATGTCATGTATATTAACCATGCCATGGATGTAAAGCAAGACTTAAAAAACTTAGACTATCTCCTTGTAATTTATATATGTAAGCATTTAGAACTTAATTGCTCACAATGTACACATTGTGTATATATTTCTATGTATCTTTTGAACGAAGAAAGAAAGACTAAATAATATTAGTTATATGCACCTGTAATATCTCCAGTCTCATTTCTAATTTAATCCTAAACCTTCAGAACAACTTGAGCAGCCACAATTGGTGAGTAATGCAAGAAAAGCTTTTTCCCTGAGGGGCAATGTATATTGCTGTCACAACTTTTCCTCAAGTTTCTGTGTTATGTAGCACTTTTCTTAATGCCCTAGTTCCATGTCATTATGTGAGATTATAAGCATTTATTTTTTTCCTATTTCTCATTTCCAAACAAACCTAAATTTATTATTCATTTTAAAAGTTTCAAATTGATAAAATGAATTGCAGTTCTACTACAATGTCTTATTATCTGGGATGGTAGTACCTAACCAGGATGTTGGGGAAAGCATTTTTGCTCTAACTCATGATGTTTTTTGCTCAGATAAGGATCTTTTTCCAAATTGAGGTGCGCTTTTTTTCTCAATCAGGAAACACATAGCTAATACGTAGTAACTCAGTTACTACTGCATATATTTTAATTGAATGTGTCTCCTAAAGGAGACACAGTTTATTTGAGAATGATGGTTTCTTCTTGGTCTGTATACTAGAATTGATTGGAGATTTTCTTGGAGTCCCAAGGTAACAGGAGTGTGTTTCACTTGAGGGTTCAAATTGGATGCTATTTTAATGCCATAAGACCAGGGAAGTAACATTGAACATAAAAGTTTCCAATGTATTTTGCTAATGGACATCCTTTCAGAATTAACTACTTAAATTGCTAAGATATTGTTTAGTTGCATTGTTTTCTTGAGAGTCAAATACAAGTAAAAAACCAAAACACTCAGTTGACACTTTTTTGAAGAGGAATTTTTTCTGTTTCACGTGGGTCAGGTAAAAACAAACAGGACAATTTAACTTGTGCCTTGCTACTGTGCTCCAGAGAGCTTAAAGCATAGTTGGATTTCCGACTATGGCTCATTCAATCTTTGGCTTCCTTGCTGAGATTTCTTAAAGACAGTTACTGTGATTTGAAAGGGTTCACCTCAGTTGTGTGGGATTTTGTTTTACTTAAGTTAATAAAAACTTTCAGTTCAGTCTTGGCTCAGACTAGTAGGATGTAGTTTTTATTGTCTTCTTCCTCTCTACTTCAAATGACACATGCTCACTATTTTGGTAAAAGGGGTATATTTATCAGATTAAGAAATTCTGAAAAGAGCTTTTGCTATAAATGAATGTTTTCTTTTACATGCTTCTAAAAATATGAAGCCCTTTGAGCAGCTACCTCATTTGTGTCTTCCATTCTCTGCATCATCTAGGAAAAATCATGGAAAAGTAATCAGATAGGAGATGTTGGAGGTCATATCCACAGTGTATTTAAGTATTTTAAATAAAAATCTTATGTTGGTCTGGCATTAAAATTTTCTGGTTGGGCAGCATAATTTTTAACTGGGAATCTTGATAGCAGTGGCTAAAATCTCTAGGCCTGGGTCAGTAGGAAGCTGTATTGTATTCTGTCAGGTATCAGTCTTGATACTTGCATTCTCCCAGTTATAGCATACTCTGCTCATATGATTTGTAGAAAGATAGGAGGGCTTTTTCTTCAGTTAGAGTTTTAGAATTTCATTATTCTTAATATCCAAATCAGCTAAGTAACATGTATTCTTTCAAAAATGTTAGTGAATTCAGCATGTAACATATGTGCCAGATTGGTAATGTTCTGAGAAAGAACTGATCAACAAAGCAAGTTTAAAATGCCATGATAAAGTGTCATTTACTCCAGAAATTAGAGTCTGTGTCTTTGTCCTCTAGAGGTGTCTCAGAGAGTCAAATTGATGTCTTGCATGTACTGCTAACTGATTGTGTGGAAATTTTTTTAAGTTCACTTTTTCTTTATTCTTCTGTCTTTTTTACCCATCTTCCCCCATTGTAGCAAATTAGACGGCCGGATGAAAGCAAAGGAGTTGCTAGTAGAGTTGGATCCCTCAAAGTAAATATGTTTCTAACATTTATTTTGCAAGTTTTCTTCTATAGCCTACACTTTTCCTTTTGAAGGGGGAGGTGTGGGGAGGGAGGGAAGGGGCTTTTCCATTTCTCACCATCACATCATTTTTATTTCAGTATTCCTATTGCTGTTGGGTCACATTTTGTTTGTTTCTGTGCTACACATAGAACAACCTATTGAAGGCAGGCTGCCAGTTAGGTAGCTCTGGATGTCACTAGAAGTAAGAGATAGTAATAACCTTTTTAAAGTGCCTGTAATTTGGTGATCATGATTAAACCACTTCTCTGATCTGCCTGTTACATGGAGAAGTGATTTACTCATCTTCCAACTACTGCTTCCCATCTTGAAACATAATTAAACTTTTATGGTGTTCTCACTTTATGCATTTAATTCTGCAAAAGACCATTACAAAAGAGTTTAATATTTCATATATATATATGTAGCCTTTCAATTAGAAAAAAAAAGAAATCAAAGTAGATAAAGATCAAATGAAAGATATTCAGGAGACTAATAAGAATGGAGCCACTGTTTTGCTGATAGTCAGTACCTTCTGCCTTTTCATGTTTGTATAAACGTAGACAAACGTTTAGATTGCTTAGCAGAACAGGCAGATATCTAAACCAGTACCCACCATACACACAGTGTTACACTCTGATAAATGTTTTTGAACCAAGATGCTGATCATACGTAGTCCAAACTATTTTGATCTCAAGAGTTGTCTCTATTTCAGCTGTCCAATTTTTCACTTCTTTTCCTACTTTATTTCCTTTTAGCACCTTCTCAACCTCTAATTATTTCTTTTTTTCTTCTGCATTCTCCTTGCTTTTCCTGTCTTATTGGTTTATGATCTTTTGTTTTGGTTTTGTATGTAAGTGTATTGCATTTGTTCCAGGACAAGCCATCCTCTCTGTTCTCTAACACTGTTCTACGGCTGCTCTTTGTGAAAATGTAATTTCACTGAGCACAAAGAAAGGGAGGGAAAGGATTAATTACACACCTCTTTCCGGTAATGCCTCCATTTAAATTGATCTTAGCATAGAAAATAAGCCAGTTGCTACTTGTTTATACAAGTTGTAGCTAGAGGCATCTGTAGCATTCCTCACTGTCTGTGAGGCTTTATCTTTTCATCTTGTATTTTGGGAAGATGTTTTAATTAGAGTGTAGATGACAAGAGCAGTGTACATGAGTGGAGGCTCTGTTTCTGTGGGAGACATTGAGGACCACTGAATTCACATGGATAAAAAATACAAGACAGCCACAGTTTCTGTGCTGTTTTTGAAAACTCTGTTCATGATTGCAATGACCCGTGCATTTTAAGGCATGGGTCATCACATGCAAATCTAGATGCATAATGCATGCACATATGAAGAAGATGTAGCTTGTTTAGATGGTGGGTTTCACCTGTTATTATGAAGACCCATTGATAGCTCATCTTAGCTTAATATTTCTTCATCTGATTTAATTCCATGACCTAAAATATATATGTGGACAGAAAATCCTCCTTATATAAAATGGGAAATCCTAATTGAGGTTCCCAATCGTGAAAATTTACCTCTAAAAATTCTTTTTATGAAAATAAATTCTAGAACACAGCCTTACTAATAAATAAGCTAATAACTAAATAAACAATGTAGCAGGGATTCAGTAGCTTTAGAATTATAGTTCCCTTGCTTTTTTTTTTTCTGTAGTGAAAAAGAGCCATGTTAAGCAAAGATATCTTGCTTCCAGATTCCATGTTTACTGAGACTTGTATGCCTCTGTTGTTCAAAGCACTTTGATGTCTTGAAATGTATTGGCAGAGGCAGTGAGAAATGCATTATGCTATGGTTTATTAAAAACAAAATAAAACAAAACACAAAAACAAAGAGCAAAAGAAAAATGAAGGAGAAAAAACTGTGACAAGAGAACAGGTTGCTTTTTCAATTCATTTTCTGATGTTTACATGTAGCTCCATCGAAAGCTGGAGGAGCTCAGACATCACCCAGAAGGCAATGTCAAAGGATGCTTTCTCCGAGTAAATGTACGATTTCACTCGGTGGTCTGATTTTTTAAAAAAACTTCTGCTGGCTGGTAACACCAAATCTGACTGGTTTGTCCTCTCATCCCCATCTTTTTCCTTTCTTTCTCTATTTCTTCCTTTGTGTTTTCTTTCTTTTCTAGCTGGGGTTTCATTTTAATGTATGTGAGAAACCTGACCTGATTGACAGTTTGTTGTAAAGAACATCCTACTGCATTTTAATGAATGCTAATCAAACTGCTTGACTTTACAGAAACTAAAAAAAAAATCCCTTTCCAAAACTGAAGTTGCATATCTCAAAGTTTCCTGAATATTAAACTTAGCAATGCATAAAACAGATACCCTTAATTTCAAAAATAAAAATACCTTCTGCCAGTGATCGGTAGCCTTACCTAAACCAAAAACTATGGCTGATATAAGGTAACCCAAAAGCATATAGGTTCACATGTACCTCTGTCTTTGCCATCAACCTTTTCAAGTCCCTGTTTTATCTCACAAAATAGGTCAATATTTGGTTGAATGACAGCTATGCCAATTTTGTTGCTTGTTTTTTTAGCAGACTAATGCAAAAAATATGGCAGCATATTTCTTCTCTGTCACATTTGTTCTTTAATGAAAGAAAGTTGTGGAAAAAGAATTAGGATCCAGTATATCAGTCATGACACCCTATAAAGTCACCAAATTTTTACAGAATTATTTAATAAAGCAAGTCAAATCCAACACAACAAAACAGACAGCAGTACCTCTTGTTTAGTAGTACGCCTCATAAACTAAGAACAGCTTTTCAGAAATTCTATATGGAAGTGTTTTTAAGCCACAGTATTTTGCATATAATGAAAATTAGGAAAAGTTTGTAGCAGAATGAATGTGAAAATTAGTAACACTTTATCCCTTTGCACATCCATCTAGTGAAGGGTCTCTCAATAATTTCTTTAGATTCATATCCTCTTTGTCTTCCATACATATGATTGTTGTCATTCTCAGAACTGTCATTCTAATGTACAATTCACTAAGGTTATAAGATAACCTTATTGCAAGATAATTTTTGTAATGAAATTGATTTGATAATTTTTGCCTCTTTTGGGCACTTTTGCATATACAGCTTTGTATCTGACATATAGTTGATTACTGCTTATTGTCAAGTAGAAATTCTTGAGTTTATAATATTTTGCAGGTCAAATACAAGGAAATCGAGCTGCTAATATTTTGCAGTATTCTATAAAACAAATTTGATTAAAGGACAGTATCTTTTCATTGGCAAATCTTATAGGAATCAAGTTTTGGGGGAAATAAACTGTGTCATCTTTTAGATTTGGTGATAACTCACAATCAAGACAAAGCAAGTTATTTTAAGCTACTTATTCTTAAATTCCTGATTTAATACTTAAAAAATAAATGTAAAGCCAGAAGTAAAATCCAAAATATGCCATGAAACATGGTACTACAAAAAATATGTTCTAATCATACATTATTTCACAGAATGTCACATGGGGAAAGATTTCAGACTAAAAGCTGTGACTACATTAGCCATGGCAGCATGACAACAGGAGCTGTCATGAAATTGTCCTGTTCCTCTGTGCCACTTTTATCTGTTACTTCATGACCACACCCTCCATGATGGAACTCAGTCAGTTAGTAAGAAATGTAAGCAAGTAAATAAAGAAATATTCCATATATTCTTCATATGCCTTTAAGTTTCCTAAACCAAGCAGAACACATTGCTAAAATTTGCTGCTTTGTCACTGCTGCTCTGATTCATGCAGTAATAATGGATGTTCTAGATAAGAGCATTTTAAAAGACAATATACAAATGGCTGATCAAAGAGAAGAAATAGTGAACAATTGGAGAAAAAGAAAAAATGAGGGATCTGTTAATAGTTCATTTTGAAAATAATTTCCATTTTTTCCATACTGCTTTTGGAAAGGGTTTTAGATGTAGGTTTTTGATACTCCTACAATGTGGCAAAAGTATTGAATGGTATGGGAGGGGGAGCATGTCGTATCTGATGGCCAGCCCCATAATGGAAATTGAAATGCTATTGCATAATACCATTAAGGTGGAACCTTTATTCCAGAATGAATTGCAAAGACATTCTTTCCAGATTAAATTCAAAGGCCATTGGAAATATGTAGGAAATGCTGGAATTCTGCAGAATATCACAGATGCCACCAAAAGTTTAGAAGTCTTTCCAGATATCTGAAATAAAATTGATGAATGAAATGAATGAAAATTTAATTAATTAAGGAATTCTGGGGGTTGAATAGTTTTCTTTTAGTATCAGCAGTAATATAGCCATTTACAAGGAAGTTATGCTGACCTAAGGTTTGGTTTTGCATTTCTTCATGAGGAATTCATTCATCTTGCAGTTCTTTTCATGACTTAATATTTTGATCCCTTGCAGTGACCAGTTTGACACTGAACTGTTTAGAAAACTTAGTGTTCTGTCACTTGGACATGGTAGCATTCCCCCATGCTGAAATTTATGTAGCAGTAGCACGTAAGTGCAATTGCTGCTGACATGATCAGCAGGGAAAGAGTTGACTTGGCTCTATTTTATAACCCATAATACCTCCCAAAATTGATACCCTTCTACAAGTGTGGAATTACTCTGAAATTCAACAGAACAATACTGCTTCAATCTTTGCTTTGAAGATTTTTTTTTTAGCTCTTTTGGCTTTTGGGTTTATTTTTTATTTTTTTGGTTGGTTGGTTTGTTTTAGGTTTTTTTGTAACTGTACAGCCTGAGAATTTTAAATACAGGTTTAATTTCTGCAGAAAAGTATTATGGAAATCCCATGAGAAAAAAAAAATTATCCAAGTACAGAGTTCCCAAGTAATATGCCCAACTATTTTTGTGTGGCTTTTAACCAGTATGGTTGAAGTCAAAGATTCTGGGTTTTTTTCAGGAAAAATGTTCCCTGAATTTATAACAGTGGCCAAATACTTTCAATAGATTCTGTGAAATGGAACCAAGATTCTCAGTTTTCATACAGACCTGTGTGCCTCAGAGTCTATGGTCTCCTGCATGCATTTTCTGTCTTCCTTTAAGTACCTGCTTTCTTTGGCCATGATGAAGGATTAAATTTACATGACTCTTACTCTTGATTCTAATACTCAGTAAAGATCTAAGTCAAGCCAGTAACGCCTTCAGACTGAAAGCAAATTACTCTTGCAGCATTTGAACCAGGTTCTCATTTGGTGTAAATAGCTCTTTTTTAAAAGTGTTCTCACAGTGGTGAATTTCTGTGACTGACAGTTTGACCCCTTAAATTGAATATTTGCAAGGGAAAAGAGCCCAAATGCCAGCACATTTGCTTTACCCAACATAATACATAGGAGTTGTCAGGTAGCATAAAAATAAGGAGAGCTGCCCCTTCTCTCAATTGGACAAGACAGTCACTGAAGTTCATATATGACAAGAAATTATAGGTAGAGTAGGTGATAGGTTGCAGAAACATCAAAGGAGCTTGGAAATATATTGATATTTAATTTTAATAACGCAGAAACACTACACTTAGAAAATCCCAAAATCAGGCAGATGCTTAAAAATGGAGACCAGTTAGCATAAAAAGCAATGACATAGAAATGATCAGGAAATTCCAAGTGTGCAGAAGATTAAACAAACACATTGTGTGATCCTATTGAAGATAAACAGCAGTCCCTGTGTGCTGTGAGCATAATCCTTTCCTCGAGAACATTAGGTCAGTTTGGAACTACAGCACTTCAGTGTACCTTTGATTTCATCATTCTGAGAAAATGAAATGAGGGTCTAGACATGTATGAATAAGTAAACAAGGATTTGAAGTAAGATTAGGAGATTAAGAGAAGTTTTGTATGTGTGTGTTTTTGAGCATAGAAAGAAAAAAATAAAAAACAGAATAACATATATTATATATTATATAATAAAATATAAGATATAATATAATAAAATGTAACAACTGGTATCTTATTGAGGGGAATATTGTGATTTGCTTCTATAGAACTGAAACTATGAAAAAGAAAATACAATATTACTTAAAGTTTTTTATTCTAATTGGAGTAAGACTGAAGTTAAATGGTTCCATTATTAATGAAATTATGGATAATTAGATTATAGGATTCTTTGACAAGGAGAGTGATAGCATTCTACTTAGAGCAGTTGCCTAAGAGAAGATTAAAGTGCACAAATGTGTAACATGCCCCTTGTAAGTTGGTGTGAGGAGGAGACAATGTGAACTAAACTCTTCAGATTTTTGTGGAGTATAGTTCCAAACCTTCTGATCATTATTGTTTCTGTGTATCTACTTGCTGATAAGTAAAAAACTGGTGCTCTGATGATTCTTGCTTATCATTCGTTCTTTGGATCCTGCAAAACCGAGGCTAATGTTTTTTTCCATGCTGTTGAAAGACAAACCATGGGAACAATGGACATTATTTATGAAAATCTTGATTAGAGTCTCATCCAAAAGTCTTAGGTGAATAGCTGCACCTGTTCAGAGCAAAAGCCCACCTTACCTTTCTTAGAAAGATTTCAAAGCTGTATTTCTAGAAGCAGTTTTGCTTTGTCAGAAGAGGATCTTTCTTTTTCTTTTTTTTTTCTATAATTATAAAATAGACTGTTTAAGAATAACAGTTGACTTAAAACTGTGGTTTTCAGTCTTGCTATTTGTTTGAAGGAATGTTCTATTTTTGTCTTAATACTTCTACAACTCATCTCAGTTTAAGAAAACATTTCATCAGTTGAAGAAAATGCTGAGTGTTTTTGAATATTTAAGATGATATGAAGTGATTCAAATTTCCTTAGTAATGTTATCTAGAAGAGCAAATGAAATACAGAATACCAGAAAGGAGCAAAAATTTTTATGGATTACTAAAACTTTTCAAGGAAATGAAAAAAAAAAGTTGTATATTTAATGGAGACATAAATTAGCACAGACCAATGTGACTGTAGAAATTTCCTGGAAGTGATATTTTGTATTTCAATGAAAAAATGTGAAATACACATTTAAAACTGAAAAATATTCTTGAAAGACTTCTTATGAATATTATGTTCTCTGCTCAGTCCATCATATACCTAAGTGAACAAGTGGTCACTAATAACCTGTGTGGGAATCTTGCTGGATTCATCTTTACCACAAATGTATCCAGACTGCTGTACAGTTTGTTAAGTCTAAAGAAGTTTTACTAAGGCTTCTGATAATTCATTTTTCACCCCTATAAAAAAATCAAGACATGACTTTTAGTATATTTATAAGAATTTTTTTTTTTTACATTTCATTTATTAGACTGCTTTTACTCCTTCAGACAGTGAAAAATGAAATATTTTCACCCAAAGAAAGGATTTCTCTATAAATTCCTGGCAAGTCCTTTTTTAATACTTGAATTATGTCTGAGTGATCAATAGTTTAGTATAATGGCTATCATGTATAAACAAAATGTGTCTTAAACAATCAGTAAAACTGTAGGTTACCAATTAACTTGTGTTAACTTGCACTGAAAGCTCTTGACAGTGGACAGAGTCCCTCAAGAATCAGACACATGACATTGCTTAGGGGAATAATCTGCAGATTTCTACTGACCTATATCTGGCCATTAGTCATTGAACTTTGCAAGTTATTCTGGTTTTTGGGGCAGTGAGATTGAAGAAAAAGCTCCCTTGTCAAACTGCTGCTTCTGAGTACACAACAAATAAAGATATTTGTAGCCTCTTATGGGTTTTCACCCATAAGATTGTATCTTTTATAGAATATAAATATTTTATAGAATAAAACTAATACTTGTAAATGAAACAGTTCAATAAAAGTTTCATCCTAGGATACCTTATTATCCTAATAATAGTGTTGTCAGATATCTAGAGGACCAAGAATTTATATTTGTCTTCAGATTCATCATTAGTTTTAATTATTTTCAAATTAAGTACTTTCTTTTTTTTTTTTCTTTTAAGAAGCTTCCACCTTAAAAGGCATAAATTTGAAGTTTCTGAAATAGCTGGTCATGGAAACTTTATGAACCCCCTGCCACTATCTCAGTGCTGGAACCACCTATACAGAAAACCTTCTGAGACCCTTACTGTGCCACCATTTCTTTTTTAACAATGTTTTCTTTTCCCCACTGCACAACCAGGCTCGACTCCCTTCGTGCTCATCCACCTATAGTGTTTCTGAGGTATACTTTGCACGTGTTCTCTCACACAGTCGACCTGCTCACCCATCACACTTTTTTGATTTTATTTACTTTTTTTCTTATTTTTTTTTTTGCATTGCACTGTGCACAAGTGGGGAAAAATCAGCTGGGGGGGCAGATTTTGCATGATCAATCTGCAACCATGTTCAGCGTGGTTTTAAAATCACTATAGCAGTCTGGGACCACCATGATGTATAGTCCAGTAGCTAGGCAACTACAATATAGCATATGAGCATAAATTATATGATAGAAATGTTCTTAGTTATCTCTTACATTAAGTAATAATAACAAATTTACAGATGTTGAGGCCGCAAAGTGCTTCACTTGTTAGTCTGACCTGTTTTTGGACAGTGAAACTGGAAGGACTCTGTAAAAATGGCCATCAGGTTATGATCACTAATTACATGTCTAGATATAGGTGGGTTTATGATATCTGAAATTCATTATTAATTCCCAAAGCTCTGGCTCGAGTCACTACCTGCCAAAATGCATGTACCATTTCAAATACTTCTGTACCAGCTTCATGACGGTCTTCTATAATGAGGTATAGTATCATCTTATAAGAATTGAAAATGAAAATACTTTCACTTGTAATTAGAATGGGGAAGAAAGAAGAAATACCTTAAGATAAACTAGAATTCACAACATCATGGGATAAAACAAAGTTTATAAAATACTGTAAAATTAATTCCATGGCCTGCTGTGTAAAGATTAGGTTTCAGCATATTATTATAATTGATAAATGGATGAGTACCAAAAAGATGGACTTAAGGTTTCCTGCTATACTGAATCAGTCATGAGTCTGTGTTTTAAAAGAATCCCTCAAAGGTGACAAGATCCCATAAGAAGTTAACAGTTTGCGCTGTCCTTCACACTGTGGGCCATGTTCTAGATCTGATCTGAATGATAGAATTATGATCTATTCATGAGCAATAAAAAAAATCCAAACATAAAGAGCTCACCTACTCAATTGCTTTGTCCCTAAGCAGAGAGACCCGTACCTTGCTGATTGTGTGTGTAATTTGTTCTCAAAATTTTCAGCTTCTCAAGCAATCATTCCTAGCACTTCCTTATCCTTAGTAATAAAAGTTTTTCATAGTTTCAGTGTATGAATAGGCAAAAGATGTCATAGAAAAGTTCTTAAGAAAGATGCTTACCAGTTTTTCTGTCATAGATCTGTATAGATCAATAGTTGCTGTCTGGCTCTACTGGGAGACAAGTAGTTTTAAAAATAATCAAATATGTGTTCTTAAAAGCACCTGATATGTATTCTGCAGATCATTGTGCCTCATCTCTTTATTATATGAAAGCCTTATGTTTTTATCATGATTATCATCAAAATACCAATATGGAATAAATCAGTTATACTATACTCACATGCATACACAGCCACTTTTTTCTAAGCTAATACCAGAACAATAAATTAAGTTCAGTGCTTATGGATGCAAGACAAAAGCCATCCTCACTCCGCTCTTCTGAATATCTGTGCAAAATTAAGGAGTGGATCAACAGGCATTTCATAGTTCATATCAGCAAAAATGATGAACATACTCTTACAGATGATGGAGTCAATAAGTCACTTTGTCCTGGGGTGACTTTATGGTGCTGAATTGTATCCCCATTTGTCTGTTTAGCCCAGAAATAAGTTTTGCGCCTTTAAGACTGGTTCCAAGAGTGAAGCAGGGTGGAGAAGAAGAATTCATTTTTTTTCTCCCGAACCTTTAGGAAACATCCTTTTGGAAGTTCCTTTCCAAATTTGTCCCAAACCAGGACACACTTTCAGGGAATTTGGAGTTTTCTTGCTTTGCCTGCAATTTCAGCCATTTGTTCTTCACTTTATGGAGGGATCGTTGTCTTCAGAAGAAACGCAAACCAATGTATTGCAGCTGGTGACTGGTCAGCATGTATGGGTCTCCTGCTTGATCAGATTCCAAAAACTTTTTTGCCTTCTCTGAAACTACCACTGCTTTGCCATTTGTGCTAAAGAATCTGCTATCTGAAGTATCAAGGTGGCACTGCAAGACTGTGCAAGCAATTCATCCTTTATACTCTGTCCAAAGGCAAGATCATCATATCCAAACTGCAAATAGCCTTGGCTGCATGCTGAACCAGATCTTGTGATGCAGTAGCTGATCAGAATTTCATGCTCGCAAAACACACAGTACAAGATATAAAAAGCACAAGGTATAAAAAAATATGGGTACATTATTCTCTGGTGGCAGACTACCACCCTGGTGTTTTTCAGCAGAACATTCAAGCCACTGACAGATCCAAAGGAATAGATCAATTGAAGCTGAAGACATCTGTGGCAGTTGTAACTATTTGGAGAGGCAGAAAGGGATTTGAGGTATTCTGGGGTCCATAAAGGATTTGTAGTCTGGTTTCCATATTTTTAAGAGACTCTTCATTCAAAAATGAAGAAGCTTAATGTCAGGATGCATGTCAAACAATGCTCAACATCATCATCTATTATTTTGCAAAATGGGAAAAGCTGCTGATGAGTAAACAACATCTTGACTTCTAAATTATATGATAGAAAATCTCCCAAACTGAAGTATTGTTAAATCATCTCCAGAAGCCTGTCAGTAATTTTGATCATGGGAAAAAAATGAGTAATGGTGTTTTACATGATGTCTCATACCCAAGAAAAAAGAACCACACTTCTGATAGGATCTCAAGGTTGATTTTGTGTCCACGCATATTTCTGTGGTTCTTATTCCAAAAAAAAATACTTTTCTTAAGCTAATTCTTAAGGCACCAAGTTAAGATCTTCTTAATTTTCTGCATCTGAGTCATCATCAAATAGCTTTGGACCTTCAGAGGATATCTGGAACAAAATGGCAAGAGAAGTGGAATCAGTGCTGAGAGTTCAGCTGAACCTGCCTTCTGACAAAGGTACAATGAAAGATGAAAGAGATAACTTCATGTAAATGATTTCAGAAATCTCCTTTTAGGAAACAGAAGTATTAGATTCATTGTAAAATTTTGTCACAATTTTAATTGTTCAGGAAAGGTCTGGAATTGAATTGACTGGCTCTAGTAGAACTCAAATTGTCAAAAAGGAAGTCAATCTATCAAGGATTTCCTGTCACATAGAAGGTCTTTGATTGAAGAAGTAAAAGATCTTCCAGCAGAAGATCAAATAGGACCTCTGTATTCTGCATTGTGAAGAATTTGAGGTAGAATTTGCTGCCTGTTTTTTTTATAGAAAACATCCTTGTAGAGGCTGTTTTGCATCTCAGAGTCCAATAATTAGAAAAAGCTTCTTTTCATCTGTTCTTTTTTATTGCCACCAGTAGCATGAGTAGAACTGCACATGTGGTCAGCTGATGCCTATTTGAGAGCAATGGGCAGAAAGATTTTAGAAACTTCTACTTACTTTTAGGTACAGAGAGGTTTGTTGAGTTGCAGGCATTATAGTATAGGAGTATTATACAGCCTCTTAGCCCCAGTCAGCTCCTTAACAATTCCACTTATCTGTAATGAGGTCTTCAGTGAAATTTAAGTGAGTTTCTTTAAAAAGAGATTTCCTTGTGTCAAGAGAAGTAAAGCTTTAATTCTCTAAAATGGTATGATGATAAAATATAAGCTTATATTCTCTTTAAATTTCCCAGCGTGCAATGAAGTTTTTCACCCTTGAAGAAAACCAGTTAGCTTCCTGCCTGTAATTTTTGTGGATGTTAGCAGGACTACTTAAATGGTTTGTCTAAGAGTTAAATTATTAATTAGGACTTATAATGACTTAACAAATGTGCAGTATAGTATGTGTAGAATAGATATTCTTATTCAGTTGTCACAAAACACAGTAGTTTATTTTTTAACAGTAGTAGTTCAATTAAAATACTAAATCAAGTCAGCTTCACTTAAATTTTTAGAACTACTCTGACATCAGCTTGTATCATAAAAATATCATTCACAATGTTAATTGAACAGATTATTCAATGAAGGTCCATAGTCTCTAATTTATAATATTGCCTTTAGATAGTGCTATGCAGCAGCACCATTTTTTATTCTCATTTGTATTTCAAACTTTCTATTAGCAACATCATTTTCTCTCTCCCTCTCTCTCCCTGTCCTCTGGCTTTTGCATGCGCTCTGTGTTTGGCTAAAAGCGTAATGAAGGAAATCTATTGATCTGCTTGTTGGAAGGATAGTGGCAACAAAATGTTTAATGCATTGCTACTCCCTGCTTTCCAAAAAATAAAGTTTTTCAAAGAAGAAGACACTCGGGTCCATAGCTTGTCATGCATTTTATTTAGCCTCATTGAGTTGTTAGAACATGATGTCTTTTATTGTGAAAGATCTGCAAAATACTGCGTTAGTTCTCTCTCCCATAAAGAATATTATTTCCGTAAAGATAGGTTTGGAAAATGTATTGGCTGCATACTGATTGATGGGAATTAATTGTATGCTTAGCATTGCTAATAACACAGCAGAGACCTGTATTATCTTGAGAGTCACCAGTACAGGGAATTAAGGAGCAGTATTCATAGAACAGGAGGAAATACTATTTCCTGTAATAGGTAGTTGACCTCAGAATACCATTCAGAGACTGCATGAAAATTTTTAAGTGCTGTGAGTTAAAGTATTTTATATAGTGTACATTAAAAAATGTTGTAAATAACTGAATCTTATTCTTCAGAATTAAAGCCAGATAAGAGACAGGTTCTCCTTCTGCTTAGATTAGTTTGAATAGAAGGCAGTGCTGAAAGACCAGGAACTGCAGCTCTGGCTTTTACGTGTTTACCACTAGCATAGAACCTGAATTCAGCTTTAGGTACAGGATGCCCTGTTGGTACTTGTTGTAAATCTACTCTACATAGCCCAAATTATGTACATGTAAGCAGGTCCCCTGTTCTTTTCTCTGATTTCACGTAGAAGTCCAGCAGATAGAGAACTTGGTTCATTGCATCTGACATACAAAAATATACTGAGCCATTGAACAGAAATTTCTTCTGATAGATTCCCTTTCTTGTTGCCTT